ATTACAGTCCATCTAGTATGACCCACTTCCAGGAACTTGTATTCTATTTCATTTGTAGTTGTTGATCTATAAACAAATAAAGATGGCGCTTCTGCAACAATATTATTTTTGTTTTGTCCGGGACAAGAATCCGAATATAGAACAAATTATGCAACTGTATCAACTAAGCTGGCAAGGTATTTTAAAAGACAAGAAGCAACTTGATCTGATCCACGGTCTGACCACCCCTCATGCCACATGAAACATGAAGTGGTATTTTCTGTGCAATTTCTGAAGGTGAGATTATAATATGTCCAGAGCAATCATTTATAGTAGACTACATTATGCGAAAAAATCAATAACCTGAGATATGCTGACGACACTTTAATAATCGCGGCAAATCAGGAAGAAATGGAAGACATAATGAGATGTTTGGAGGAAAAAAGTAAAACATATGGACTAAAGCTAAATAAAAGTAAGACAAAGATCATGATAGTAGACAGAGCTCGGAATAATCTTCAACACATTAAAGAAATTGGGGGCTTTGAAGTAGTAAATATTTTCATATACCTGGGGTCCCTAATAACAAATGACGGAGGGTGTGACAGAAAAATACGTAGAAGGTTGAATATTGCTAGAACAGCTATGATGAAACTGATAGCAATTTGGAAAAATTCTAGCATAACAATACACACAAAACTAAGGCTGGTAAGGGCGCTCATTTTTCCCATAGCCACATATGGATCCGAAACGTGGACCTTAAAGAAAGTGGATAAAAATTAACTGGACGCTTTTAAAATGTGGGTATACCGCCGTATGTTGAGAATATCCTGGATTGATCATCGCACTAACGTATCGATATTAGAACAACTTAAAGTAAAGGATAGATTACTTAAACAAATACAACAGAGATATTTGCAGTATTTTGGACACATTGCTAGAAGAACAGGCACGATGGAAAAACTGATAGTCGAGGGTAGAGTTGAAGGAAAGAGACCAAGGGGAAGATCTCTAAGCCGTTGGGTAGATCAAACAAAAATATTGATTAACCAAACCAAGTATTACATGAAGCCGAACAACTAGCCCAGGACAGAGAAGGATGGAGGGAAATCATGAAAAAACTGTGAAGGCCTGGTGGAGTCACCACATCCCAAAAGGGATTAGGACTGAGGAGGAGAACATTTGTGCTTAAATTGGGTGTTGGTAGGTTCTGTTGCAAGTCAAATACTAAAACAACTATTTTACCGCTAGTACTTCTGGAGAACTTCATGTTTTCTTTTTTTATTATAGGCAATCTCTGCTAGCTGAAGATGTTTATTTTTCTCTTCATTTACGGCAGCACGTATGTCTTTACTATTACAGGATTTTTTTCTTGTTTTCTAGATAATCACAAGTCTTACATGTATCAATACTAAGATTGTTAAATTTTGATCCAAGTTCTTTAAAAATCATAGCATATAATGAATATGATACAGGCTTTGTTCTGTTTGATGCATAAAGATCATAATATTTAGTTATTAATATTTAGGTTGGGAGCTAGATAGAGTTGGCTTGAGTGCCTTCGAGAGTAGTGGCTCCTATCGATTCGAGCCATTTTAGAGAAGCAATTTATCTTCTAGAATTTTTCGAAACACAACTACTGTCAGTGTTAGTTAATAATGTAAATCAGGGGTGCTCAAACTTGAACTGCTGGCGATCTACCTCAATATTTTTAGACTACTTACGATCGACTCTGAGAGACTGCAAGTGTGTGTGATGAAGGGTTGTCGTACATACACGATACACCCTACCTACCTAGGTAGGGCGTACCGTAGTATATATAGATATTAGCTTTCTTCACAATATAGGTACATTATTTGATTCAAGGTTTGGGTTAGGTCTAGTTAGGTTCTTCTCTACAATATCAATGAAAAAACTCATAGTTATTCAAAATTTCGAGTTTATTTGTTGTTACAAAACAAAAGAGTTACATATGGTGTTAAACTTATCTAAGGAGTGGCTTTGGATGTTGAAACGTGGCACTGCATGTCCTCAGTATACTTTTCATAAGATGGCACGTAACCACTGAGTGCTAACCGCAAGCATGATGTCATAGGATCGTCAGTTAGTCGATTGCGATATTTTGACTTAATTATCTTCATTTCAGAAAATGCAGACTCGCACAAGTAAGTTGACCCAAAAAATGCCGTCAGTTGAAAGGCGATTTGCCTTACATTCCGATATTTATCTTCAGATATAAAACGCCAGAAATTTGTATCAGATACTGTAGCTTTGAGATGTATATCTGATATAATCTGTACCAACTCATTTTCAACAGAACATGAGTTCATATTAAACTGACTTGCTATTTCAGTAGCTAATTCCTCAATGTTTTTACATGAAAAAGGTTAACTCATAAATGATGCTATATTTTCCAATTTACTGCAATCATAAAAACGCATTTCGAATTGTCCCAAAATATTTGATAATTCAACCTCATACGTATCATAATTCAACTGAGGAATCCTTGCTTTCAAAGACGGAAACTGTTTCAGATCCTTTCTTTTCAGTTGATCCATTATAAGTTGCAATTTACTTTTGAATGCGTTTACTGCGCTAATCATCTCAATAATAGTTTTTCCTTTACCTTGAAGCTCCAAGTTAACGGTGTTTAAGTGCATTGTGATGTCAGTCAAAAATGCCAAATCATTTAGCCATTTTTCGTTTTACAAAATCTGAGTGTGATCACCTCTTTCGTCTAGAAAAGCTGTTATTTCGGGCAATAATTCTTGAAACATTTCTAGGAATTTTCCGCGACTCAACCACCTGACGTCCGTGTGAAGAACTAAATCAGTGTGTTCAGCTGACTCCCTATCTTCCAACTGCAACTGAAAGAGCCGCCATTGCAAGCTACGTGCACGGATGGAATTCACAATTTTTGTTGCAATGCCCATAATTTCCTTCGTGTTTAAAACTTTTGAATACAAAACTTGTTGATGTATAATGCAATGGAATGAAAAAAATGAAGGGAATTCTTCATTAGCTCGACACAATGCCACAAAACCGTTTTTGTTTCCAGTCATTGCTGGTACTCCATCGGTTGTAATGCACATTAATTTATATATTGGTAGCTCGTAGTTTTTTACAAAATTTAAGAAAACGTCATATATATCTTCGCCACGGGTGTTCTCCTTCAGAGGAATGATTGTCAAAAATTATTCCTTAGCCAACATGTCATTGAATACCATCCGAATAAAAATACACAGCTGGGCAGTGTCTGTCATATCGATGGATTCGTCGAACTGTAAAGAAAAGTATGTACATTCCATGATATCATGTTTTAGTTTATATGCGATGTCTTGACTCATGACTTCAATACGCCTTGTGACAGTCGGACGAGATAACTGAAATTCTCTAATAGCAGACATGATTTCTGTTTTATTTTTAAAATCTCCAAATAAAGCCTCACCCGCTTCAATAAATGCTTCCTTCACCACCGATCCATCTTCAAATGGTTTCTTGTCTTTCGCCAAAATATGAGACATTTTAAATGACGCGATCGTAGCAGCTTTTGATTGTTTGGCTGGTCTTGTGAACATGGATTGTTATTTTTTCAAACAAGATATCAAATCACTTACTTTTCGTTTTCTTAATTCACTCTGTGGCGGAAAATCCTTTTCATAGTTTTTATGAACCGTTTTATGATGCCCCTTTAAGTTACCACGCTTAGGTATTGCAACTGACGCACGACAAATAACACAAATGCACTTATCTTTCACCATAGAAAAGAAAAATTCTTCCTCCCAATCCTTATTAAAATGATACGTTTTAGATTTCTTCATTGCACTCATTTTCCACTATTTAATAATAAACTTTGTATCGACGTAGGATTGCTATCAAGTTACAATTCAGAATAACTCCAATTCCTGCAGGCGCAACATTTATATCGGCGTGAACGAAAGTCTCGAATGTTCCCGTCAAACGCGCCGCCCGAAACTAGACTGTACTGTCTCTCGTCTAGAAACAACACGGCTTTTCTTAGACAAGTGCCGCGCGTTCCTTTGATAAAGCCACCTTTTGCCGCAAGCAGTGTTATTTTATTACGTAATACATTTTTGTAGTTGATAGAATATCATCCCAAATTTGATTAATAATTATAATAAATATTGAATTAATAAAATAATTAGTTAATATATGTAAATATAAAATATGCTGTGTGGACAGTATTTTGTTGTCCCCACTTCTTTGAATTGCAACGATGCTTAGTCAAGCATTCTATGTATTTGTATAGTTCAGTATTAATAAAAACGTTTAACTCTGCTGACAGTAGTTTAGTTACCTACCTACTTATTAAAATTTTTTTTCTTCTCGAGATCTACCCAAAAAGCACTCGCGATCGACCAGTCGATCGCGATCGACCTACATTTAAATATTTAAATTTATTAAAATCTACATATTTTGCACTACTTTATGTATTTAAGACCTATGAGACTACATAAAATCATAAGTTTTATATATAATTGAACTCGTATTGAATAGGAGATTCCAATAATGACTGAATATACAGGGTGATGAATTTGAAAAAAAAGTTACTAATATTATAAGAGAAACGGTAAATCTGGCAACATTGCAAATATCAAATATGAAATCTCCGTATACCAAAATAAGTGTACCTCGAATTTTGTAAAATTATCACTAGCAATGTACGAGATAATTTCTCGTTTCCAGACTTTTGGGCTACGCTGCATATGTTCCAGTAAAAATATCAGCAATTCCAATTGCTATACGTTTACGGGTTTCTGTACGGGATAGACATTAATTTAAACATTATCAAAAAGCTCGAGCATTTGAAATGTGGATATAACGACACATTCTCAGGATATTTTATACTGAATATAAAAAGAAACTGTTAAGGTTGTAGTATTGATAATTCCGAAGTAAACTAGGTACAATGGTAACTTTAATTGTAACTTGTGAGTAAATAACTCATTTGATGAATATAAATAAAGCGACAAAAATAATGATTTCCAAAAAAGACTTACCCGTAAAAAATACAGAACCATCATCTGTTAAGAGAACTGCGTGCAGACCATCGTGTCCAATGGCAACCTGGTTGATTTTTGGTGCCTTTGTAATTATTAGTTCAGACCATTTTCCCGTTCTAACGCCCGATTGTTTTATTCCAAGAGCTGAAGATTTACCGCAATATAAGACCTAAAATTGAACAGCTTTAGAGAGTTTATTACTTAAATTTTAGTGAAAATGTATAAAAAGTACTAGCTGACCCTAAAGACTTTGTCTATCTTCGTTATATGATCTAAAAAATATAATCTTGCCCACTTTCGAAAACCAATATAGGGTATCTTGACTTGACCACTGGCGCAACACGATCCAGGAGTTTGAACTTCAAACTTAAATGCCTTGTAATATGGACACAACGTTTATGTGCCAATGACAACTAATTACTGTAAATTATAATCGATTGCCAGTTTTTAAGTCCATCGATTCCATTCAACTTCATTTCCTGCTTCGCGTTACTCGTCAATCTAACTTGCTCGCCTTTTTTTTGACTTGCAGTATTGATAGTTCTACGACCTAATTTGTTACGTCTAATTGGTGGTATTTCTAAGACTCAAAATTCAACTGAAACTTTTTCCTTTACTGTTGTTCAACATTTATCATTCCGCATTTCTTTCTTTCTTGGTTTCTCCAAAAGTGTCCTCTGGAGATTCCGTTATCATCATCTAGTTTCCAGCGTCCACTGTCGAACACAGCAATCTATTAGGCGTTTTCACTCAGTCCGATTTTGCGCGATCTGAATTCAACTTGTCTATCTCGTCTCATCGGGGTCGACATCTATTTCTGTTGAATTTGGGTCTATATTCCAAAATTCTTTTCTTCCACCGATTATCATCTGCTCTTACTACATGATCTGCCAGGTTCCATTTTAGTGTTGTTATTCTTTAAATAATGTTTGCTACTCTTTATCTTTTGCATATAGTAGCATTAGGTATTCTATCACGTAGAGAAACCTCTAACATTATTTTCTTTATTGCTTTTTCCGCAAGTTGTAGTTTACTCACTGTTGTTCTTGTGAGTGTTAGGGTTTCTGCACCATAGGTCATCACTGGCAGAAAGGACTGATTAAATACTTTTCTTTTGAGAAACACTGGAGTCTTTGACCTAAAAATATTCTTCATATTTCCAAATGCAGCCCAAAATAGGTTTATTCTTCTTTTCAGCTCGATTGCTTGGTTGTCTCTACTTAATTCTGATCTCATGGCGCAAATATTTATAGGAGTCAACTGACAATCCATGTCTTAAAGTGAAATATTTTTTCTGTCGACTAAATTTGTCATAGTTATGTTTTTGAGAAATTTGTTTTGCGACCCATTCTTTTTGTGGCAGTATGGAGCTCTTGATGCATTATCTGCGCCTGTTCAAAGCTGTGCGCAATGAGAACGATGTGATTTTCAAATTTATTATTATTAAATGTGATTATTTAAAAAAAAATTCATCTACCCGTCTTAAAAAAATGGCTGGTCATTAAATTTGTTTGGATGATCGGCTGTTTTTGAAGTAGAATCCTGTAAATAGTTAATGACGATATTCCTGTCATATATTCACAACGACTTATTGCCTCCGCCTGAGACAATCTGTTTCTCATATACTCGTACACATTAGGCACCATGTTTTTAGCTTTAAGTCCTAACTGTTTGCGAGAACTTTTCACATTCAAATTCGCCCTGCTAGTACTAGGTTCTTCCATTTTTATTTAATTAAACAATATTTAATAAAATCAATATATTGTTAAACACAAAGGACCTATATACTTCTAACACACAATGTACTTATAACTCTGAGAAAACTAAATATATACTGAATATATACGCACCCTTTCATTTTCATAAGTCATTTCACTTTTTATTTGCCAGCTTAACAATATTCTTCTTACCTGGAGCTTGACTTCTCTTCAGCACCCTTAAACTTATATTTTCCTAAAAACCGTTGTAATTTTTTGGTGTTAAATTGTCTTAAATCCTTGTTTGATTGTTTTTAACTTTCTTTATTACTCCTCTGCAGTTTCTTCATCCCTTGTTTCGTTAATTTTTATTTGGAGAATATGTTGGTATTATTTCATCTACAATCTACTGAACCTAAACAATACTACAGAACTGATAAATGCGAGTACAAACACCACCTCCAAGCTTGAAGTCGCCCAGAACACTGCCCTTCGCGTCATCACCGGTGGTTCAAAATCAACACCGATTACATCAACGGAAACCCAGACCGGTATTGAACCAATACAATGCCGCAGAGAGCAACACGCGTTAACCTTCTGGGAAAGGCAAAGACGAATACTTCCACAAAAATGGGACGAATATAGACAAGCAGCCTCACGTCTTAAAACACAAACCACTCCGCTTACAGTAGCAAACCAAATCATGGAAAAATACCACATTGTCCTGTCGGAAGCCGCCCCGCTGTCTACCAAACACAGAATTACTGTTTGAAAACCGTAACGGTCCGAAGCACTTATCGTCAGACATTACCCTAAGGAAAGCCGCCCAAAGACGATACACACCAAGTACCCAGCACATGAGTGGCTCCACATCTACTGTGATGGATCCTCGATGCCGGACTCGGGAAGAACAGAAGCAGGATATGTCTCAACGTTCTTCAAACGCTCTAAGTAGCTCAGAAACCCCACAGCTAGTCCCAAGCCCGGATAAAAGAGGAGGGTAGCTGGGCCAGGTTAGCATCCTACCCATTGTAAAAGAACACAAGGCTCAAAAAACCGATATAAAGCCTAGTACTAACAACGACATAATTATTTTTCGTTGACAAAACGACATATTTTCAGTATGCAAACTATGATTCCCAAGTACATTTACAAAAGTTCCTTGTTTTGCCAGCTTTAGCATTAAAATCGTCTAATATTACAACAGCATCGTGTCTTTCAATTTTATTACCTACTTATATACATACATACAGATCCGAAATACAGATAAATACATATGAGAACCAAAATATGAAAAGAAAGCAAATAGAAATACGAATGTCTTAGGTGTTAGTACAACTTAAAAAAAGCTGATACTTACCTTTCCTGTTATAGTTCTAATCAAACCAAACTCTTTTCCAGTACATATAGTTATGATTTCTTCCTCGCTGCCCGTATTCACCGTGTACGTTCCATTTTCTTCATCAAATGACGAAACCCCAAAAACATCGACGCATTTTCTTGCGAGCTTAAGTGGCAATTCGCTGACCAGTGATGCTGGCGATATATTCTGATTGAGCATCCTAACAACAAATCCATCATCTTTAGCTGGTGATATCACGCCTAAATAGTCCCCATCAGAAAATACAACAGTCGCAGATGAGTCTCTATTGTGGAGAGGAACTGATCCAGATATTAATAGGTTCGATCTCTCCACTATAAGAAATTCTCCGCCTCTTCTGCCAATTAATTTTAAATATAAATTGCCCTAAAAATAAAAATAATTTTAAGTTATAAAAAAAGTTACCGTTAATGAACGAGAACGGGAAATGAAAAAAACGAAAGTAATAAATGTATGCGAAAGAATGTTACGTAGGAAAAAACAACATTAGGAATGAAGGGTTTCGTATAAAAATTTGTATACTTGGTGATAGAGAAATGAAAGTGAAAAATGTAGAAGTTGCAAGATCGAGTAATTGATTATTGTCAGAGTGTTTAATACATATATACTGATCGTCGAAGGCAGAAAATCAGAGGCAAGTCTCATCCACGGTGGCCTGATCAAATTAAAAAGTTCACAGGACTCTCCCTTCCGGAAGCATCTACCAAAGCATAAAATATGAATACAGCCGGTTTGCGCTCAACCGTTTTGCGCCCTTACCTGAAATCGACCGGTTTGCGCTTTGAAATTTTCATAATAGAAATATCTAACTACTATAGTTTCCTTAATCGGCCGATTTGCGCTCTCTAGCAATATTTTCTCTTGCTTATTTTAATTTCATTCTACAATAATAGTCCGGTGAACCTGCAATGAACAAACTAACATGTCAAATAAACAGAAACATATTTTTCCTTTAGATTTGAAAAAAAATGTCAAATCGAAACTAATAAAATTATTAAATTTTTCTAATACTACCATCTGTACTGACTCTCTCTCTTCAATCCTGACCCCCCAGGGGAGTGTAGTGGTCGACGTGATGTCGTGTATTGTCCGTCTCCAGAGATCTCTGTCTCTGGTCATTTCTTTTAATTCATGCATAGGTCTTTGGCATATTCCTGTAATTTGATCTATCCATCTTGTTGGGGATCTTCCTCGTGATCTTCGGGCTTCTACCTTTCCTTGTATTATGAGTCTTTCCATGTTTTCTGTGTTTGCTCTCATAACATGCCCAAAATATTTTAATTGTTGGAGATGGACTTTACTAGAGAGTCGTTGGCTAACTTTTAGCTCTCTTAAAATTGAATTATTTGTTCTACGGTCGGTCCAAGGAATTCGTAACATTCGTCTCCAACAGAACAATTCAGTGGCGTCTATCTTTCTTCTCTCCCATTGTCTTAGAGTCCAAGATTCACATCCCGTAGTATTGGGAATATTAAGCAATTGATCAACCTCATCTTTATCGCTCTTGAAATTTGACATTCCTTCCATATTTTGGTCATTTTTGCTGTGGCAACTTTTGCTAGATCACATCTACGTTTAATCTCTTCTTGTAATGACCCTGTGTTTGTGATTAATGATCCCAGATATAAGTATGAGCTCACAACCTCGAACCGGTCAATTGTGGTTATGTGTGGATGATTGTTGTGTAGTCTATCCACTATCATGATCTTTGTCTTTGATATGTTTAATTGCAGACCAAATATTTGACTTTCGTTTTCGATCAGTCGTATAAGTTCTATCAGCTCTGCTTGACTATTTGCAAGAAGGGCTGTGTCATCTGCGAAACGTAGGTTGTTTAGTTTATGACCATTTATTGAGATGCCCTTTTCCCATCCTTCAAGTGCTCTTCGCATAATATACTCCCCATATATGTTGAGTAATTGTGGAGATAGTATACATCCTTGTCTGACACCCCGTTCTGTATGAAACTCGTTCGAAAGTGTGTCAAGTACTTTAACTGATCCAGTAGTGTGTTCATATAGTTCAGTTATAAGCGTAATTAGATGTTGTGGTACGCCTACTTCTTTTAGTATTCGCCATAAGTGTCTCCACTTGACTCTGTCGAACGCTTTACGGTAATCTATAAAACAGATGTATAGTGGGATGTTGAATTCCCTAGATTTCTCGATTACTTGTCTTATATTCAGCAACTGACAGACATCCCAAAATTCTCTTTAGTGAAAAGTGGTTTAAACGATCGTAGAAAACGTGCGCGTGGTCTGCTCACATATCAAGCGGCAGCATTCAAACTTCCAAATTCCAAAATCCTACCAAATTGGAAACCATCTCTTATAAAACTGGATTTTGAACAGGCAGTAATTGGTGCCTTAAAAAACTATTTTCCCGAAGCCAAAATTTCTGGTTGTAATTTTCATTTTAATCAATGTATATGGAAAAATTTTCAAAATATTGGACTTGTTTCTGAATACACTGACAACGAAGAGATATGTTTGCGCATAAGAATGTGTGCTGCGTTAGCGTATCTACCCATAGAAGATATCGATGATGGCTGGTTATGTATTCAAGAAACCTCTCCTATTTCTGAAAAAATGGAACAGTTTTATGACTACTTTGTCAAACAATGGTTAGAAAATAGTCACATTACCAAGGAAATGTGGAATTGCCATGATCGAAGACATCGCAGTAATAACGTTTTAGAAGGTTGGAATCATCGTCTGAATACATTAATAAGACCACATTCCAATGTATTCCAATTGGTGAAGTGCCTTCACCTGCTTAAGAACCTTTATGAACGATTACTTTTAATCTAGAGGGAAAGCAGCGCAAGAAAACATATATTAATCTTGATGAAAGAATATTCAAAACTTTACAGAAATATAAAGATACAAGGGACTTAAGATTGTGTTTAAGGACATTGGCATATTTTCAGATGTTGCAATAAATAGACAATTTTTGATTCCCAAGAATTTTTTGTATTTACTGTATAAAAAGGTATACGAAAAAAAAGCGAATAAAAAAAACCAAAAAAATTAAAAAAAAACAAAAAAAATTAACAAATTAAAAAAAACGAACAAAAAAATAAAAAAATAAAAAAAAACATCTTCTAAACACGCCAATGTTTATTTTATGTATAAACTATAACAGTCCTAAGCCTGAATGAAAGTGTGAAGGGAAGATGATTTATTTTTATTTTTTTATAGTTTTATAATTTTTTAAAACTAATTTTACTAACCTAACAGTTACCTGATCGTTATGGTAGAATAAAATTAAACGTCGATTACAAGAGAGCGCAAAACGGTCGATATAAGACAGGGGTGGCCAACCTTTTTAAGTCGAGTGCCAATATGAGAACAAAAAAAATTTGGCGTGCCACTAAAATTTTTCGACATACTAATATGGATACTATATATTAATAATATACGGTACAATATGTATTTCTTATGTAAATTCCACATTTTTCCGTTTAGTCAAGATAGTGGAGGTTTAAAAAATACCGTAATAAGTAAAACATAACAACAAACTTACTTTATTGTTAATAAAAATAAAATAAAAACGTTAAACAAAAAAACTTAAATATTTTCTTATTATCTAAAATTCAAATTATTAAACAGTTACTTATTTAATGTGGTATTTGAACTTGTATATTTTTTTAATTAATTCATCTATATTGGGATTAATTTCGGAACTAGCCAACAGAATTAGATTTTTTAAATGCATGTCAGTTAATCGTGACCGATATTTTGATTTTATTATGTTCATAATAGATAACATTTGCTCACAAACGTACGTTGAACCAAATCTACAACAATATCTCAGAGCTAACTCGTGTAAATTAGGAAAATTGTTTGCTGGTACAAATTTCCAAAATTCAATATAATTGGGATCAGTAACAGTTGAAATAATTTCCCTATATTTGGTTTTTAGTACAGTGTGGTTCTGTAAATCAATAATTTCGATCTGTATTTCAGCTGAGTAACAATTGATATCTTGCAGAGAAATAGAAAAAGGATTTATGAAAAGGTCAACATTCATTTTGTCTTTTTGAAAATCTTCAAACCGGGTATTGAATGAACCTAGCAAAATAGATATAAGGTTTTTAAATCTGTCATAATTTGGAGTTCTACTGACCCTGTTGGCTAATTCCTGCATTAATGTGAAATGTGTCAATCTCTGTTCTCCAAAATCGTTACAAAAAAGCATAAGTTTATTCACAAAAGAAGATATATGACCAACTAGAGTAGGAAAAATACAATTTTTTCCCTGTAATCTTAAATTTAATAGATTTAAATGTCTCATAATATCAGTTAGAAAAGCTAAATCCCAAAGCCAATCTTTATCATTAAGTAACGAGCACTCACTGGGTAGTTCATTGTTTTCTTGCAAATATTTTAAGACGTACTCCTTCAAGTTCCAAAACCTTTCGAGTGCATTTCCTTTGGAGAGCCAGCGCACACTGCAATGGAGAAGTAACTCTCCATCTTGCTCCATTTCTTCCGCGAACAGTTCTCGAAATTGTCGTCGATTCCATACCCGAGCTCGTATTTTGTTAATGCAGCGTGCTACAGGGTCAACAACAGATGACATGTTTAGGTCCTTGGCACAAAGAGCTTCCTGGTGAATAATACAACGGTACTTAAAAACTTTTCTTCCCAAATAGTTTTCCAGTAATGTAACAAACCCCTTTAGTCTACCAACCATGCAAGGAGCTCCATCTGTACAAACACTATCTAATTTTGACCATTCCACTTTGTTGACTTCGATTACGTTTTTAAGCTATTGAAAAATTTCCTCTCCTGTTGTTGTGACTAGTTGGCGCAAATCCAGAAGCTCTTCGGCATTTTCAAAATTATCATTGGTATAACGGACAAAAATGCTTAACTGCGCATTTTCTGTGTTGTCACAACTTTCATCCAACGCTAAAGAAAAGAATTTGAAGGATTGTAATCTACTTATAATTTGGGAAACAATATCCTGGCCCATATCATCTATACGGCGCATGACTGTATTTCGGGATAATGCAATATTATCGACCATATTTTTGATCTTTACATCTCCCACATTTTTAGCAAATATTGCCAGACTATTTTTAATTATCTCCTCTCCATCAGAGTAGGCTTTTTTCTTCCGGGCTAACAGCAGAGAAAGTTCATATGATAGATTGTTGCCGAAAGACAGATATTTGTTGCTGAAGTCCTTTTGCAGTTGTTTATAATGTCGTTCCAGGTTAAATTTTTTAGGAACTGCTACAGACAATCCACATATCAAACAAACAGGCTTTGAAGTATTACGACTAGTAAATAAAAATTGTTCTTCCCAAGCAGGTTGAAAATCGCGAATTGCAATATCATCTTCGTATTTTCGTTTTGAAGTCGAAGGCTTACTTGTCGACATATAGAACAAATACTTTTAAAATTTTAAAGAAACAATGCGCGATGACAAAATCTGCACATACAACGGGCCAGTTTAAAATAAACTAAGCAAGGGTAACGCAGTCCTATTATTGCACATTACGACAGCTAGGATCACGTACACCAATCGCAGCAATATCGCTCGCCAGAGGATGCAATGATGCCGCATCTATCGTAACTTCCGTAAACCTACAAGTTTCTTCTTATTATTTTTTGTTTTTCAAGTTTTAATTTTTTTGAAAGTTTGATCAGTTTGAAAGTAGCGTGCCACTGATAGGACTCAATCGTGCCACAGAGTGGCACGCGTGCCGCGGGTTGGCCATCCCTGATATAAGATAATAATTAGCTATACATCTCCATTGAGAAAGTGTTAGAGCGCAAACCGGCCGATTTCAGGTAAGGGCGCAAAACGGTCGAGCGCATATCGGCCGACACCACAAAATAGAGTTGAACGATCAATAATTACAGTCAATGAAACACCATGAGGTCACCATATGCTTGCGTAGGATAACAGACTGAGGAGAGAGATAAATACTAATTTAAGTGTGTGTGAATTATGATATATGTTCATTTTAACATTCCTATAGACTCATTTTAACGTAATAAAATAAAAAAAAAATAGCGCTACGTTTTATTTCTTATTTCTATTTAAAAAATGGTAAAAGTTTCTTACATTGCAAAACACCAAACTTCCACTTTCATTTGGATAGAAATCTGGTTTCCACAGCACAACATATCCTTTTAACGTACCACCATATCCACTACCTACTTTCAACAAACCCTTTGAAGTGAAAAGATACAAATACTGCCCATCGTACGCCAAAGATTTTACTTTAATTTGACTAGTATTCAGTTCACTGGGAAATTTAACGTGGAATGAGTTGATTTTGGCAACATTGGGTACACCATGGGTTATCCAGTCTGGTCTGATCGTTTTGCCCAACAGTACACCATGTACACTCTTTTGTAGTGAAGATAGTACTGCAGGCATCTAGAAATACACCAAATTATAAATGGTACAAAATTCAAACAAAAATAATAAAAACGTAATAATATTTAAAAATATTTTTTGTTTAAAAAACTGTGCTATTCTGGTTTCCTAGCTATATGTTTCTTCAACGATATAATTACAATTATAATAACTGACGCTCGCTATCAAATCATTCCAGACTTGTAGAACTGGAAAAAGAAACAGAAAATATAAAATATCACGTCATAGGAATCAGTGAAGTAAGACGGAAAAATGAAGAACTATTGGAATTAGCGTCAAGAAACATATACTACTACCGAGGCACATCAACGGGCAGAACAGACGGTATTTGATTCCTAATCAACAAGAAATGCAAACAAAGAATAGTATAAATACCTAGTATCTTGGATAGAGTAGCTAGCTTAATCTTACAAACTACTCACACTGACGAAAAAATAGAGCAAACATAAATGAAGCATTAAATAATAATAAAAATCACTTCAAGTATTTAATTAGTGACTTTAATGCCAAAGTCGGAAAAAGAAACGACAAGGAACAAGGTGTGAGAAAGTATGGAGTCGGTAATAGAAACGAAAGAGGAGAAAGACTACCTAGTACAGTTTGCACATTATCAAAACATTCAAAAAAGCAAATAGGTACATTCTATAAGAAAAAAATCGAACAGAAACACGGCTTGGTTACCACCAAATGGAATCACTAAAATCGAAATTGACTTCATTCTAACCAACAAGATTGCTACAATAAAAGAAGTCAGTGTTATGAATAAATTTAAGATCAAATTAAAGACAAAAATTGTCAGTGTAATGAAAGAATAACATTAATCACAAAACCAAGAGTAACCGGTATAAATATTAACAATCTAAAAGAAAATCTACACAATTAATAAAAGATTAGATTAATGGCCAGACGTCTGTCTTTTGCGGCATGCAAAAGAACGCCAGTGTTATTTATGCCTGTCCAGTTCTTTATGTTCCATAGCTGCGATATTTGTTTGCGACCTACACCTCTCTTGCCTTTAATCTTTCCCTGGATGATTAGTTGAGAGATTGTGTATTTTTTTCCTCTCAGAATAAGACCGAGGTATGAAGAACATAATTCGCAACGTCCACATTTCAAAGGCCTCCAACTTATTAATGGAACGTACTCTTAACGTCCATGTTTTCATGCCATATAACAATATGGACCATACATAGCATTTAACCATCGCGTAGAGGAGATTGAAGTAAGTAGTCACATACATAGAATACAATACATGGAACTTTGTAAGACAATAAGGAGAAGTTTAAGGAAGACATAGGAAAATTTAATGAAAGACTGGTAGAAAATGCAATCGAAAACAGGAAAAACTATAAAAAAACAAGAAAAGCATTAATCATTGTGAAAAAGCAAATCGTTGCTCCAACAAACGAAAACACCAGAATAACAGACAGAAATGAAATAATACAACTCGAGACTAATCAGTAACCAAGAAGATGTACCTGGATTCAAAGGGGTAGTGAAGCGCAATATAAGATGCTGTTTCCAGTTAGCATTCTCTAGCCTCTCCTACTCAATCCCTACCCTCACCTCCACGAAGTGCGGCTTGGGCTGCACGGGTGAACTCTGGAAAACCTGAGCAACCTTGCTGGAAATTGGGTAACCAACCCCAATGGACGGCAGGGTCAGGGCTGACGAGGAAGGGAGAAATGGTCATCCGAAAAGCGGGTTGGTGCGCAAGGTTAGCAGCATATCTACTGTCAAAAAAATCAATGCTCATAGAACCGAAAAGAAGCCGGATACACAGATGATGGCAATTGGACGGATACACAGATGACGAATCACGCAAGAAGAAGGACAAAGAGAAGAAATAATCTACGAATTGGCACTTGAAACATCGCATCGTGGAACAAACGGGAACATGAAGTTGTGCAGTAATTGGAGCTCTATAAAATGCCAGAGTACATAGCCTAGAGATTATTTCACTTCTGTGCCATACACCTAGTAAGCAACACAATATGAGGCGGTAAGTTTTATAACTTACAAAGCTATTTTACCTTTCCCTTTTTGTGAACAAAAAATAAAATCTTTATCTCAAGATAATATACTAAACCGACTAACTATTATTTTATACTTACTTAAAACACTTTCGACCTGGAATTTAGTTTAAAACTTTTAGCAGTAGATTTAAGAAGGTCAACAATAAATAAATATTAAATAAAGTATTTTAATACCACATACCTGAATATTCTGCAGAGATAAAGCCCTGGGGCACATCAATAAAGCTGCAGATGCAGAAAGATATTTTCCAGTGTCTCCTTTGACGACAACCAGTGATAATAAACAAGCACATGCTACTGCTGTAAAGTGACTTCCGTCATTTGGGACGAAGCTTTCAGGACCATGGAGAGTAGCTAAGTCTAATAATAACTCAAAAAGTGAGTCGATTACGTCTGGTGGCTCACATTTCAAAGCTTCCGGAGCTTGTCCTTGCAGCACATCTAACAAAGCCGTTAATGCTTTCGTGCACAATACTGGGTGTGTAATGCGACTTTCTTTGATTAACTCAAAGACGGATCTTAAACCAAGGCCAACTATTTTAGAGACTTTAATTGCGGTAAAGCAAGTACTTTGGGAATTATCTTCAGTGTCGCTTTCGATTTCACTTTGATCTTGAGTAGGAGCGCTGCAGCTGCTGTTTAGGTACTCTTGACTAGCTTGTTTCATCCATCTATCCAGTACTGCCAAACGTATTGAAGCAAATACGGCAAAAGCAGAAGCATTTCCGGGAAGTTCAATTTCGGGTGCCAGTTGCAGGTCATTTTCACATTGAGAATCGAATTTATTTTTCTGTTTGTAACGGGCTTTTACTGACTTCTTTTTCAGGCGTTTCCATTCCAGACGCTTTCTAAAAGAGACAAAATATTTCATAACGCATATAAAGATGAAAACTTTATATGCCTTATGACTTAAAAGACCTTAAACTAAATATATACAAAACAAAAGTGTTGGCTATAAAATGGAAATGACTAAACGTATGTAAAAAGGTACTAGCAGACTTGGACGAGAAGCTGAAAAGACAAATATAAATATTATATAAATAACGAAGAAAGGTCATCTATAGAACAATATTTACAAATTGAATCAGCTAATAAACTATAATGCTAAGAGACTTTAAAAATTTTGTTGGTTACTTATATATTTTTTAAATTAATACAAGAGAATATGACCATAAAATGAGATAATGACCAGTAAAACTATTATTTGTAGACTACTTGATCTAAAAAACTAAAGGATTTACACAAGTCAGGGTCGAAACTATCCCATAATTCACCTAATTTACTCTTCAAATCGGCGACGATTCAATAGGGATCATTACGCAATTTCTGGTTTATCTTTTATTATTATTATTACCCAATTAAATATTTATTATCTTTTTATATCAATTATCTGCTTCATAGGTCATTAAACTGCGTACCAAGGTGTTATAAATTCTCTTCTTTGTATTTCTGGTAATCTGTCTATCCCACAGTACCCCGTTCATTTGTTTAATACATGTTCTTGTCTGTGCTAATCGTCCATTTCCAAGTTTCTCACTGGTTCTTGCTCTGTTTCCTTTTCTAATTTTCGGAGCATATAGCACAGATCTTCTTCATCTTGAGCCGTTACCACTTGGTCATCTGCAAAGCTTGATGTGTACAAAAAGTTGTCCCGTATTGGTATTCCCATCCCTTTACATTTCCTTTTCCATGGTTTTAATATTTGTTCGTGGAATATCTTGAATAGTGTCGGAGATGTAGAGCATCCCTGCAATAAGCCTTTTGTGGAGTTCATTGGAGTATTTATTGCCGGTTTTAACCCTTACCTTGTTGTTGTTGTAAAGGTTTTTTACGGGTTCTATTAACCTCTGAGTTATTCCGATTTCATTCATCGTGTTCCATAGTTGTTTTCTAGGAACCGTGTCATATGCTGTTTTTAAATCTATGAATGCCATGTGTACTGGTCTATTTTTTGCCATTTTTTTTTCAATTAATTGTTGGAGTGTATATAATATGTGGTCTATGCAAGATCTTCCTGCCGTGAACCGCGCCTAATCTTCTCCGAGTTTGTTTGAGATAGATTTTTCCAGTTTTTCTTTCAGTATTTTTCCATATAACCTGCCCATACATGCTATTACACAGATGCCTCTGTAGTTCTCGCATTGTTTCGTATCTCCCTTTTTATGTATCGAGGTTATATATGCTTTGGACCATTCATCTGGTATTTCGTTCAGGTTTATAGCGTTACTGAACATTTCGTGTATATTTCTGTGTAGTTTGTCCGTTCCGTACTTAATTAGTTCATTAACGATTCCTCCTGGTCCCCCTGCTTTTTTGTTCTTTAAGGCATTCTTTACTTAGATTAATGTTATCTCAATCTGTTCTTCATTCTGACTTTGTTGTTGTTTATGTTCTGTGTCTGTCTCTATGAAATCTGGGTGGTTTTCTGTGAGTAGTTCTTTATAGTAGTCTTCCCACTCTTTTTCTGATACGTATTGTATTTGGACCTTTTCGTTGTTATTTTTCCTTAAAGATTTCAGTATTTTCCAGGATTCCGAATTCCTTGTTCCTCCTATGTATTGTTCAATTTTTGCGCATGTTTCTTCCCATTATTCATTCTTTTCTTTTACCCTTCTTCGTTTTACTTCTGTGTTTTTCTCTTTGTACTTCTGTATGTCTTCTGGAGATTGGGTGCTCATACTTTTCATATATATAATTTTCTTCCCGTCAATAACTTTGTTCCAGAAATGAACATATTGTTTTAAAATATAAAATAAAAATGTAATTCCTTGACTTTTCTTAGTGTAGCATAACTAGAACAGTCACACCTAAATAAAATAGGGGTAATATTCCCGTTCACGCATTAGGTAGTGTTTTATTAGTTCAGTAAGATCAGTTCAAGTCGACACATGGCCATCGAGGCATCGAGTAGTTAAAAACTCAATTCACGTATAAAATACTTCGCTTCGCCGAGATCGGGCATTTTCTCATACCGGTGTTTTTTCTTTTACGTGTTATAAAGAAAGAGTACATTTGATATTGTATAGTAAGTTACGGCCGTGTTGGGCCTCTCTACTCTTAAAAGATTTAATTATAAATCGATAAACTCAAAAGTGATTTTATTTCTCTGGAGCTATATTTGCTCACATTAAGAATCCTTATCCTTCAACGGTCACTAAAGAACCAAACCTATGGAGATGCATTCATTCACAAGTCCTTTGAAGTAAGGCTTGGAATCCAAAGATTTCCAACTCTCGTAATGTAGGTAGCCAGGTACAGGGCTCCCTTAACATTTTTTGGTTTCTTTGTTTATTTTTACATTGTGTTGCGTATCTGAAAAAGCTGAGCAACTATTTAGAAAAGCTCGAGACAGAGACAGTTTCGCCATGTTAATCGCCAACGTCAAGGGGACTTGATAGGGCACGTTAAGAAGGAGAAGTTGCGTATCTCTTTTCCAAAGTTTCCCCAAAGCTTCTAATGCCGCCTTTTTTATGCTGTGTTTGACGTGCTCGTACGTTTCTTTGACGTTTCTGAAACCGAAATCCTGTCACTTCTGGTTCAGTCTTCTCTGGTATAGGTCCCTTATGGATTTCTCTTGAAGTAAATTTATGTTGAACTTCATTTCTTCTTCTTTCTGTTCATTTTCTACTTGGTCTTCTGAAGAAATAGTACACGCATTAAAAACAATGAAGAGTGCGAAAAGCACTGGATCTGACATTCTCCCTATAGAAATCCTAAAAATTCTAAATGAGAAGCATATTGATGTTTTAGTGACACTCTTGAACCAAATTTATAGTTCGGGCGTATTACCCAAAAAGTGGTTAACGTCGATTTTTATTTGTCTCCCCAAAAAGAAAAACGCAAGAGAATGCAGCGATTACCGCACCATTAGCTTGATGTCTCATGCGCTAAAGTTACTACTAAAAGTCATCCATCACCGAATATATCACAAACTGGACATAGACGTTACTGATACATAATTTGGTTTTCGCAAAGGAATGCGTGAAGCTCTTTTTTCACATAATATACTGATACAGAGATGCCTGGACTTAAATCAAGATATATACACATGTTTTATTGACTATAATAAAGCATTCGATAAAGTACGATATAAACAATTAATTCTTCTTCTTCACGTGCCATCTCCGCTACGAAGGTTGGCTATCATCATGGCAATTTTGACCCTGGAGGCTGCCGCTCGGAACAATTGTATGGAAGTGCAAGCAAACCACTCCCTGAGGTTTCTCAACCACGACATTCTTCTCCTACCTATGCTGCGCCTATCTTCAATCTTTCCTTGCATAATTAGTTGTAACAGTTGATATTTATTCCCACGTGTAATATGTCCCAGGTATTGTAGTTTCCTCATTTTAACACTCAATACAACCTCCTTTTGTTTGTTCATCCTGTCTAATACAACTTGGTTAGTTATCTTATCCTTCCAGGAGATTTTTAACATTCTTCGGTACGCCCACATCTCAAATGCCTCCAGCTTACCCATACATTGCTTATTTAGTGAAACAATTAATGAATGTCCTGAAATCAAAGAAGATTGACTACAACGATCTCAGGATCATATCAAATTTATACTACAAACAGCGAGCAAAAATACGTGTTAACGAACAGCTGTCAGAAGAAATTGAAATTAGGTATGGAGTGAGACAAGGATGCGTATTATCGCCAATTCTTTTTAACGCCTACTCCGAAAAGATCCTGAAAAATGCTCTTGAGGGTAAAACAGCTGGAATAAAGGTAAAATGAAGTTCCCACTAACAACATTAGGGATGCGGACGACACTGTGATCTTAGCCAAAAATATTAAAGATCTTCAGAACTGGTGATTAAAATATCGGAGTATGGAAAAGAGTACGGTCTAACAATGAACGTCAAGAAAACTTAATTTGTGAGAATATTGAAAACTCAAAGAAATACCGAGAATATCTCTAATAAACGGAACCAACGTCGAACAAGTGGACAAATATGCATATCTGGGAACAATGATTAACTCCAGAAATGATTACATTCAGGAGATCAAAATCAAAATAGAAAAGGCTTGAGCAAATTTTAACAAAATGAGAAGAGTTCTATGTACAAGGGATTTAAAATTGGAACTAAGAGTTGGGTTGGCGAGGTGCTATGTTTTTTCAACTTTGTTTTCTGGAATGGAACCTTAGACCTTGAATGCGACATCAATGAAAAAACTGGAATTATTCGAGCTGTGGTTGTATAGAAATTCAAACAAATTTAACAAAGAGGTTCTGAGAAGGATGAATAAAGAAATATAAATTTTAAACACAATTAAAACAAGGAAATTGGAATATCTCGGACATATTACACGTGGAGAGAAATACACCTTGCTTCCACTGATTATGCAGGGAAAGATCCAAGGAAAGGAAAGCATAGGGGGGCGTAGAATGTCATGGCTGCGCAACCTGACAGAGTGGTACGGATGTACATCAAATGAACTTTTCAGAACAGCCGTCTCAAAAGTCCAAATAGCTATGATGATTGCCGACTTCCGCCGTGGAGATGGCACTTGAAGAAGAAGATATCTGAATCAATTGTCGATCAATCTAACTTCTCTTCAGAAAGTCATCGTTTTCCTCGTCGTTTCTTCTTCCTTCGTCTATTAATTCATTCGACGACATTTCAGTATTGTGAGGTCGGGTAGTGTAATTCAGCCAGAGAAACAGGATTCGTTCGTATAGACATTTATTTCGAATTAACATATACAAATGAAAAAGTAATTATTGTTAAGTATCTACTGAATATAATGCTTGAATACAAAAATATACTGTTTATTTATTTCGGTAGATGGGTGTGACGATATTCGATATGATAAACTAAGATACGGCGATCGAGGAATTGAGGTCGTACTCGTTCCTCAATGCAGAACGAGTACTTGGACAGGGATAAGGATGTCTATCTAGTTCAACGCACGATTGTCAATCTCGCTCAACGCGCCAGATCGACTGGGTTCGGAAGGATTTGGGACACGTTCAACTCACCTGTCCCCAAGGTCGGATATTCTCAACTCAACGCATCCAGAATGGATAGCTGTCTTTCAGTTTCGACTTTTATACTATTCGAGACAGAACAAAAACACATAGGCGTGTTTTGTTTAACACATAGGCGTACTCTAGACGATAAAATATATTATCGTCACAGTATGTCGTCAGATCCTAGCCCCTGACAGCATACTAAGGGTTTTGAAAGAAAATAAAAATGTTCCTCATACTTATAGGACTAAAAACTTTGTGAAAATATAACACAAATTAAACTTTTTGTGAGAGTAGCAAAATCTGGAAACAATGTTAATTACTTAAGTACGAAAAATAATGCGACAGTATTTAAAAAATACTGAAAAATAAAGACAAGACGTCAGATAAACATATTATCTAGATCAGTGTGGTCCACGCGGGCCGCATGCGACCGAGGCTCGTTAAACTACGACCCCCGCAAACACGTTTCAAAAATATTGCCATTGATAACTTTTACCTGTTCCCACCCTGTCTAACTTTCCATACTCTTAAGAAAGTAGTTAACCTTGAACACCCGCTCCAGATGAGTTAGCTGCAGTCAGCTGCACGTGACGTGTTGAATTAACAGTGGTGAATAAATTGAATGTTAAATTCAGAATGAGTAGTGCCAAAAAACTCAAAATTTTCGAAACAAAAATCTCTGTTTACAAAACCGACAGTTGTACAGTCATCAAGCTTAGCAGCATCATATGAAGTATGTTTAGAGCTTGTCAAAAGTAAAAAAAAAAGCATTTAGAGATGGAGAAATGATCAAGCGGTGTGCCGTTAAAATGGCTCGATCCTTTGGAGATGAAAAGATGGCCAAAAATTTTGAACGTGTTTCAGTTTCCCATCAAACTGTATCTAGAATAGTTGATAAGCTGAATACTCATGTATTTAAAAAAATGGTCAACACACTTCGTGATCGTTTGTCCTACTCCTTGGCCTTGGACGAATCTGTTGATATTACTGTCAAAAATCAGCTATTAATTTTTGTTAGATGCATCAGAAAAGATTTTTGAGGAACTTCTAAAATTGCATCACATGGAAGACGGGACCAAAGGTAAAAATATATTTGAAGCAGTTAGTGAAGCTTTCAAAGTGCTCTTGTGTTTGCACCGACGGAACAAAAGCAATGACGGGGCGCATAACGGGATTGGCTGGACTTTTGCAAGAAAATGATGTTAACTGTGTTATGTTTCATTGCATTATCCATCAAGAGGCTCCCTGTGGAAAGATAATTAAAATCAACGATACTATGAAAACTGTGGTGTAGATAGTAAACAGCTTAAAAGGAGGAAACAGAGCTTAGAGACACCGAAAATTCATCTCTTTCTTGGAGGAATTTAATACTGAATATAAGGACGTCCTCTACATTCAGATATACGCTGGTTGAATACAGGTAAATGATTTAGAATTTTTTTTCTTTAAGAAAAGAGATTTTACTTTTTTTAAAACGGAAATTGTTATTAACACGGACGTATTTATAACAAAGCATAAGAACAAAACATTTCTTCATCAACTGGCATTTCTAACAGACATTACCTCTCACTTGAACACATTAAACCTACAACTCCAGGTGGAAAATAAGACAGTATCACACTAGGTTGGTCAAATTGAGACATTTATCAAAAAACTTGATGTTTTCGAAAACTGCATCAGAATAAACGACCTCAGACATTTTCCTGCATGTTTCAAAATTAGTCGATTTCCCGAGGTTTGCAAAAGTTCTTACAGAAATAAAAAGAGAATTAGATGAAAGGTTTTCGGAATTTGATGCACTAAAACCCGATCTTGAGCTTTTTAACAATCCAATGGGAGTCAACATCCAAAACCAATGAGCAGAATACCAATTAGAGCTGTTGCAACTCCAAGTCGTTTTTTTCAAGCAAAGAAAAATGAAGACATTGGTACCTTTTGGAAGTTAGTCTGTAAGGATCGTTTTCCTAAACTTCGTAACTTTGCGTTGAAACTATATTCAATGTTTGGTAGTACGTATATATGTGAAAGTACATTTTCTGCTTTGAAGCATATTAAATTTAAAACACGTAATCGCATGGAAAACGATTCTCTGGAAGCGTGTTTTAGACTCACTACGACTAGCGTAGATATATATATATATATATATATATATATATATATATATATATATATATATATATATATACAAAAGTTAGTAGAGGATAAACCCTTGCCTCAAATATCCCATTGATGTTTTATTTTATGTTAAATATTAAACATAACATGTAAATTGTAAACCATAATAAAATACTTGTAAATAGTATTTCGTTTGTATATTATTTTTTACAATAAACCTTTTTTTGAACGAGTTCTGGCCCTTCATAATAATTTAAAATTTAAAACGGTCCGCAACATTTAAAAGGTTTGACCACACTGATCTAGATGAAACATAGCCCAAAAACGTATTGAATGCGATGAAAGTTATTTTTTAACCTATGAAACACTTATTGACAAATATATCTGCAGAAACCTGGAAGAATGTTGTGAATTACGTGATTAAATAGGAAGAGAAAATATCGGTTTTGAATAACCTTATAGACGAGACTAAAGAAACAATGATAACAACTAAGTTTCGAGAAGTGGATAATACGCTAGGTATTGAGTGCATTTCCGATGTACTATAAATTATAGAACTGTAATTCATAAATACTAATAAATATTTTAATCACCGCCACGCCTCAATATCACGCATTTTAAACATCATTTAAACGTTTTTCTAATATTTTGATCTCAACACAGGGGATAGATACTTGTAAAATGATTAATATCACATCATTAAGAGATATAACTATTCTTTTGGATATACAATGAGCCTACAGTACTTACTATTTATGATATTAAGAAATGCGGTAAGTATAGATAAATTTAAAATTGTTATTGAAAATTATTAGAAGTTGAAATATTTTTTATAAAATTAGGTATACAATAAAGGTATTGATTGGTTAGTTTCTATTTTCAGACAAATATTTAATTACATCGAATTTACAGCAGATTAAAAATTGCGCACATTAACGGAAGGTACCTATTGAGTAAGTACTAAAAATAAAATAGGTACTACTTACTTCGCATGTTCTGGAAGAACTTTATAAGCTTCATGAAATATATTATTAAAATCTTCTGGGTCCGGCAACATTTTTGGTTAAATTACTACTTTATTTTGTAGTTTTAGTTCATGGTAGTTGTATTATTGATTTTCTTCAAAGTGTGTGTGTCATCTTTCCTCGTAATATAAATCGATAAAACGCTATCGCTCGCACTCGGAAAAGTTTTAAAATATCTAGTTATAATTCATAAAACTTCAATTATTGTGTACATTCATTATAGTTGGTTAATGTTTACAAATTTATTTAAAATCTGTTCAAAACAAACCGCCGGCGCAAAGAGTTTACGTCTGACTCATACAGCTGATCAGTAATCAGTTTTACAAGTGATAGTTATCTGATGCGCTGTTGCCTGATTACTTAGTTACAATAAATTAAGATTTAATCTTTTATTAATTTAATCTAAAATTAAGGTAATTTAAGTACCTACAGAAAAACAATCATTAATAAAATAATACAGTAATATATTACTATATATACATATCATAGACCTCCCATATTTTAGTAAATAAGTGCTTTGAATGTGGTAGTGATGATTACAAAACTCTTTCTTGCGACCGATATATAAGTTGTAACTCTGTTATACAATATGTTGATCTAAAAATTCTTTATCTAAATTAACAAAGTCTATATTAATTAATACATAACTGACTCTATTGGGCAGTTACCATCAGACTGTTTATAACATGGTTTATAACCAATGCCACCGATGGCTTAATATATTGAATATAATTGTGTCAATTATCCCACTTCATCAATATTAGTTTTCACTTAACTTACATTAGGTATAATATATACTTATTTTGGCTATTCTCTAACTTAATTCGTGTTGTAGCTGTTGGTTGAAATCATGGACGTATAATCTGTGTTTATACGTCCATGGTTGAAATTGAAATGTCAATAAATTTATTTTAAACTTCAATTGCGGCTTACTCCCATTAAAATAGTAATTGGTTTAAAGTGCCACAATAAAATAGCTTCAAACAATATAATAAATATATGGACAATCTTATATGAACGTCAAACAATAAAATGCATATTGGTTATACGTCGCTTCACACATTTATAATACTATCTATCAACAATTATAATAATAATATTTGTTTTGGTACTGCAATTTGTGTAATATATACCTGTAAAATACGAAAAAATCTGGCATTTAAAATTGAGCTTTTACAAAAGTGAATATATGACAACGTTGTATAGTCTGCTCTTTAAAAGGACAAAGGACGAGACCTAACCTGAAAATTAAACGTCAAAAGTTTATTATTATATCATCAAAATGTTCTCGCGAATTTGTAGGTAAAATATGCATGAATTTTATTAGTTTAGTAATCATAAGAAGTCTCAAAAAATTTTTGTAAAATATGAAGCCCCTTTCTCAGTTGAGACTGATAACATTTGATGTAACAGATACTTTACTGCAATTTAAATCCAGCCCTGGCCAGCAATATGGAGAAATTGGTGCTCTCTATGGAATTTCCTGCGATAAAAAGGTTTTGAATAATCATTTTAAAACTCAATTTCGAAAAATGAGTCAAGAACATCCAAATTTTGGACGTACTACAGGTCTGGGATGGGAGAGGTGGTGGCAAACAGTTGTTAAAGACTCTTTCAAAGACTGTGATATAAATTGTGACAATGAAAAATTAGATCAGGTAGCGGCTCATCTACTTGATCTGTACAGAGGTCCAGAAGTATGGCAAGTAGCACATGGAGCATATGGACTTTTATCTTTTCTTAGAAGTAAAGGTATGCTATAATACTTTTTTGTTTAGAAACAAACATAAAAGCTCCTATATTGGAGCTTTTATGTTTGTTTTTGTAAATTTAATTGCACAATATATTCAATAACAAATTCTGTTCTCATAAAACTATTAAGCGTGTAAGTATAGATCATCTATGAAAATCATTAATTTGAATCTTTGTGATGGATTAACATAAACAATATTCGTATAATGTGTTAATTAATTTCTTGCAAAATGAGATTATTATAAAAAAATAACTGAGTTACTGTTTGAACAGTTACATTTTAATAATTGTATAATTACAATGTCAGCTATAATAGACTATCCCAGTCATATGTTCTTGGTGGAGAAAACAATATCTGTTTTCAGTGTTGTACAAGTCTGAGGAAAACCTAGCAATTAATGTTTTTGAAGAGCATGATTCTCCTTGATTAAAGAAACAGTAAATTATATCTCGAAAGATTACTTCAATCATGCTTTGTACAAAAGATGATCTTTTATTACCAGGCAATTCCATCAACTTTTATAAAAGATAGAATATATAGAACTTTATTCAAGTTCAAAAATTGTTTAATAAGTTATCAGAGAAGATTAATTACACCTCATTACAGTAAGACCCCTCATTTTTATAGAGTAGTTCATAAAACGAAAGAGTTCATAAAAGGAGAAAAAGAGATACCTAATAAGGATGTAGACAAAGTATTTTTCATTATGTATATAAAAATGCCATGGCTGGTCTGCCAGGACCAACCTGTCACTTCTAGAACAGCTTCATATAAATGACAGACTGATATAAAAGTAAACCAAGAATACCTAAATTACTTTAGTCCTAAGAAACTTTTATACACAAGGGTATTTATGCTAGACAATACAAAACATAGGTATCTTAAAAACTCACATGTGCGTCATCAGCATATAGCATGCAACATGTTAAGGCGTGTTCACATATATTCTTCTTGTTACAAGTTGTTTTTTTGAAAATTTTCAAAACTTTGAAACATGTGCGCAGGCTAAAGATGTAACACAATTTCATTTTTTCTAACCAATTATTATAAAATTAGACTTAAGGCAAAGTAATATAACTATTACATGATAATTAAATTATAAAAAAACACTATAAATTATATGCATGACCACTGTAGTGGTCAAGTTTCAGGAGACATTTGTTGGGCTTTCCGAGTTTGAATTTGTATCAGCCCGAGTGGCTGGTGAGGCCGGGATAGGCCGAAATGATTCGTAACACTTTATTGATACCGATTTGAGCACGGGAAGTTTAATGAATTTGTCCTCCTAGGCCCATATATTTGGAAGTACGCATTTTTTACGATTTTGCCGAAACTACTTTCAACATTGTAATGAAATTTTATAGGAATATGTTTTGGAAGCTGATGCATTCCATGAATTTGTTTTGATACCTGATTATCATAGCGGGCGCTAGTTACAAGGATCGTACTAAGTATTAGTCAATATAACTTTTTTAAGAGTATAATTATTAATCAAAATTTTAAGTAAAATTAAACATCATTCAATTTTACAGGAAAACGGTACTCTTGGTAAAACTCGATACTGTGTACCGTTTTCGGAATATTTTGATTTGAAAATTATGAACTAATAATTGATGCCGGTAGTAATGATAAAGTTCTAATAGGTATACCTCTATTTTCTCCAAGTGTGCCATGGAAAGCTGACATTTATTGATTGTTATGACGATAAATCAACAATAATTAGAGTTTTGAAACCTTGTTATTTGTAAAATCAAATCAAAATGTACTCAAATGTTAAATACACTGACATGTCATTAACCTTAGGCGAATGTTTAGGATGTTCTAGTGCAGTTGTGACACGTTATGCAGAAAAGTTTCCTAGAAGAAATTTATCAACTAAAAAACATTTAGAGCCGTTGAACGACGTTGTCGAGAAACTGGGAAAAAATCACTAATTAAGGCATTTTTCTACAAAAAAGTGCATATATCTCGAAATAGACTTTACCGAAAAATTACGAGAGAGAAAAAGTGTTATTTTGACGAGAAACGCCTAAAAAAAATTGATTTCAAAGCGATTCGGTGAAATTTTTACAGAATGGAGTAAAAAGGTTTGGAGTATTAGAAATGCAAAAAAAAATGTTCGCTTATCTTTGAAAGAGTTGATTTTTCCGTTCTATACATCTTTGTCCATACATTTAATATATTTGTATTTAATTTGTTCTAGGTATGACGCTAGGAGTAGTCTCAAATTATGACCCTAGGTTAAGACACGTCTTGATCAACACCAGACTCAGGCACTATTTCCAGTTTGTACTGATATCCTATAATGTAGGATTCGAAAAACCTGATCCTAAGATTTTTCTTGAAGCAATGTCTTCGGCTAAACTTGAAAATCTAGAAGCAAAGGAATGTTTACATATAGGAGATCAAAAATCTTTAGATTATGATGGTGCAAGAAACTGCGGATGGCATGCCGTTTTAGTTGATGACAAAGAAAAGTATCCAGATATTGATAAAGAACATGTTTTTAAAAGTTTGTTTGATCTTCATAAGCATTTTATTAAAACTTCTGGCGAATCGTTATTTTCTCATACAGTATAACTGTATATTTTTTAAATTAATTTATTCTTGTTTTTTGTGAAGTTTGTGTTCTTAGAACAAAAAAAATATTTTTAAATACTTTCAAAAATAGGGAATCATTACTATTTTTTTTATAATGGTACATTGTATTCGGGATTTCTTTATCTTGAATCAGGCAAGACACATTAATCTGTCACTTGGTCATAAGATCTTAGTTATCAGAGGTGCTTCAGAACTCTGGTACAATTATTTGAAACATACATAGGTTTAAGACAAGGATACCTTTTTCCTGCTCTGTTTAAAATCTTCACTCTGGAGATATGGGTATGGAAAAGAGCTCTGGATGTATGGGTATGGAAAAATGGTTCAATTCCCATTTCCCTTTATCTCACTGTTAGTAGATGCAAAAAAACGGACCATCTTCTAGTTGGTGAACAGAATTATTCAAGAGCGAATAGCCAATACAACAGTTAAACTCCCTATTCTAGTCCAAAAACATAAGGATGTTAAGAAATGGAATCTTTTCATGAAGAACCATGGAATCTGAGAAATAAAAGAAAACGACTGACAAGAAGGACGATTGTGGAGATTGAAGTGCGGGAAGCAGCACGAACTGCAACAGGTTTTACAGATTATATATCTTGATTAAAGGTCATAAGACCTTTGTACCAAACCCTGTTATTTTTTCATGAAACTCCAATAAGTCCTCTGGCCTTAACGAAGCCCAATAGTTTCTTCATTGGTACTTTAAGGGTCCCTTCTGGTTCGATCCTCAATTGACCAATGAATTCTTACCTATTTAGTATAGGTATTTTCTCAAACGACAATGTCCAGTCACCATTCCCGTGACCGTTTCCTTTCTCTTCTAAATCTTCCTGCGACTCTTCTACAAAAATCTATTTCCGTCGCTTTCAACGTTGCCAGTGTTCTTTATTTCAGTAGCCATACCACACAGCTGTATAAAGTGATACTTTTTAATATAGTCTCATATATCCTCCTCTTTATAAGTAATTTCTCTCGATTCGGTTCTTTAAAACCTTCCCATATATTCGACTCATAGATCTGGTGACAGCTATTCCTCGGAAATTTTCACAATTATTTTTATCACCCTTTTTATGTGTAGTACTGAGGTATGATATCTTCCATTCCGTAGGTATTTCGCTTGTGTTTATGTATTCTTGAAATAGTGATCCATTCCCTTGAATAGAATCTATAACGTGTCACTGTTTGGTGGGGTTTTGGACTGGAGGCATCATTTTACCATACTTCTTTAAAAATTAGGCTGATCAAGCAGTGACTGTTACTGGTGTTCGATATCACAACATGACAACATAGTTCTTTCTGCCTACATTGGATATTAATGTGGATGACATTTGGTTTCAATAAGTCTGTGCCACATAAAGCTGAAATAATTCAATTACTCTATGAGACATTTCTTAGTTGTGTACTCTCTCGTTTCGGTGATCAGAATTGGTCCTCTAGATCCCTACTTAAGCCTATCATATGTTCTTTATGATTCATTAAAAAAAATACGATTTAAAGAAAAAAAAAAACAATGTTCTCTATTAAATTAAAATCTTCTTCAAATTCTCCCGGACTTTATTTAGTAACAAGGCAATTACTGAACACACGCTTCAATATGTACACAAAAAATTTACACTGAACCACAACTATAGGGAATAGCGTATATTCCTGTAGTGGGCAATAGTGGTAGATCTTTGGCGGATGTTAGACTCTCTTGTATTGTCTTCGTTAGTTTAAAGATGTACTTAACGTCGCGTTTTGCCAAGATTTTCCGATTCGTTGTACAGGAAGTTACATCGCCACATCGCCGTTCCAAAATTCCCAAAAGCAATTTACCATTACAAAAACACCGACCGCGAAAACCTTCAATCTTTTTAGATATATATGTGGTGTCGGCAATTCTAATGGAAGCTTACATAAACAAGAACGTTTTTTAAAGTACTCTGAAAAGTGTAGTTGTAGTATGTTTTAGTATTTCGAGTTTAAGGACAAGAAGTTTTTTTAACATAAAATGTTTATTGCCGTCTTTTCCAGTACAAATAATAAGCAATGTGTAAGTATATTTTTTGTAAAATATCAGTTTAAAGTCAACCAGTGACAAGAATCTAAGTAAGTCGTATAATAGTATAGCTATATATCTATGACATAAAAGTTAGTTAAGGAATATAAGCGACATAATTTTATACAGATAAACAGCACTGGCAACAAATATGAGTATTATAAATCTAAAAAAATAATACAGGAATGTTTAGAAAAACACCGTATTAAAATCTTAAATTTTACCACACTATGACGTTATACTGTTTCTCCAGATTTATTAGAGGACCCAAGGGTCCGGTCTTTTAATTTTCTTTCGTGTGAAATGTTCCATGTCAGATCCATGTCAAGCACATCTAGATGGCAAGGTAGTCTGGGCTTGTATGCAGAGCTTACAGTAGAAAGAGGTTCGCTAACTATTGGTGCCTGTAAGCCTTGGTGTAACCTCTGGTTCGTAATATACCAAGGAGCATTGTAGATTTAGCGCAGTACTTTTGATTAGAATCGTTGAAATTTTTATATGTTAGTATTACCTGTTGTAACTCAGATTTGTGTTGCATGTATAGCCATATTGTTTTAAGATGTATGTATAAATCAGAAGTTTATTCTGTAGGATTAATTTTCGACTCATGTACCAATATATATTCCTCTAGTTTAAGCTAAGTTGAAGGCGTATTTCCCAATCGTGGATGCTCCAGTTTACTATCCAAATGAATCTAACCAGGTTATAACAGGCACTGGTTGTTTATCTATGTTAGTTTTTAACTGCTGACTTGGACTTTCTACAGTCTAAGCCAGCTTTCTAGTTTAAGCAGGTGGTTTTGCAATACCTGAGGTGCTTCCATTGCTATGGTATTTGAAACCATGATATCTGCGTCATCGGCGATTGTTATATTGTTGGTAGTTTTATTAAGTAAAGGCTGAGTCCTAGTTTGCTTGTTTTGTGAAACACTAGAACATATCGGAAACAGATTAATGATTGAACCACTTCTTTTGATTGGAGAAAATAGATATACTAAGTAGGAAGTTAGAACTAAACATATAGAATGAGAAAATATGGATTTAATTTTGGAGATACTCTTTTCTGCCAAACTTTGCCGAATATCTGGGAGACATCTAGAAATGCAACTGTACAGTAATATTTGTATTCTTTCCTAAACTCAAAGTGTTAATTCGGTAAAACATTTCTGTCATAAAACAGTCTCTAGTCTTCTCAGAAAAAAGCAGTCTAACACGTTGGATGTAATAGACAATACGCTAATGGGGCTATATGAAGACACATTTTGGAACTAAAACAATTTGAACAACTTTCCATTGAAGTGGAAAGTAACATGTTTTTAATATTGAATTAAACTTATACATAATTAAACTTACACCTTCATTTGGGTACATTTTTTAGTAGCAAACTAGATATTATATCATATCCAGACTTATTGCCTTCTAGATTATCAATTACTTCTTTAATTTCAGATTTCTTAGAAGTTTTAAAGCCATTTGATATAATGCATTTCATGGATAGTTTCTTCTTCAACTGATGCGCTTCAACTTCCCTCTGGTGCGGTTGAAAGATATTGCATAGATCACTAGCAAACATATATGCTTTATCTACGTAACTTTTTGCTCAAATGCCATTTTGTAGCTGCCAAGTCTTTTGCAGTTATCGTTTTTCCAATATAGATGTATTTTTGTGAGCAGGATATGACTCGGGGTTGTGTTTGTAGCAGAAATTTAAAAAATCACCTTATGTTTGTAGATCTGGAGAAAGCGTAGGACAGTGTGTCAATTAATAAGTTATCAGAGGTACTTCAGAACTCTGGTTTAAATAATTTATATGTAAAAGCCTTGGAGAAGAAATATAACAAACCCTGTAGCAGTATCAAAATGGGAAACAATCTGTCACAATTATTTGAAACATATAAAGGTTTAAGACAAGGGTACCTTTCTCCTATCGTGTTTAAAATCTACACCCAAAGAGCTCTGGAGGTATGGGCATGGGAAAATGGGAATTGAAATCGAAGATTACCTTTATCTTACTGTTTGCAGATGACCAGCTAGTAATAGCGAATGATGACAAACATCCATGATCAGGAAGCTAATCGAAAAGTATACCAAATGGGGTTAAAGATAAACATACAAAAAACTTATCATTTTGGGGACTTATACCTATAAACGAAGATGGTAGCAGCGGACTGGATATAAGTAACAGAATTATTCAACGACAAGTATCCAATACAACAGTTAAACTCTCTATTATGGCCCAAAACCATAAGGATGTCAACGAATGGATTTTCTAAGAAATTCTCGATTAGACTGTATTCGAAACGAAGAAATTAGAGAACGCTCAAAAGTAAAAAGTACCCTTGACGACAGAATAGCATTTGCATAAACGAGGTAGGCCCCGAAAAACTTGGAACTATGAAATCCGAGAGATGGAAGAAAACAACTGCCAAAAAGGAGGATTGTTAATATTGAAGTGTGGGAAGCAGCATGAGCTGCAACAGTTTTTACAGATTATATATTGTGACCTTCGTCAGAAAGTAATTTTAGTTTTAAAAAAATCGAGTTCTAGTCCAGTAGTCAAAGTGTTCAAAACACAGTACCTAGTCAAAAAAAAATCGTCAAAGACTTTATTGTAATTCTGGTCAATAAGGATAAATTGATATTTTCAATCAATTGATCACTCAAAAAGTAAAACAATTCAATTATTTCGTTCGTAATTAATTTAATAACAATGAATAATAAAATTATCAAATCTATCACTATCAAATATAACCAATATCGGGTTCACGCAGAATCTACCCAATTAATTTACTTTAACAATATATGTATCCAACAAATAGTGCGGCTTAAGAGTGCCGTTGAGGCACTGTTGAGTTCAGTTCATTCAGGCCATCTAAGGAGGTAAAAACTTTGGGAATTCAGAGAAGCCGTTCTACTATAGGAAGTACTAATAAATCATATCCAAACGACGAAGAAATTCAAGGGTTTTGGATAATTCAACTTACTCCACCACCTATTATTAG